GGAGGTCCCGTTTGGCATGGTGTCGGGTCCCGTCCGCGGCGGATGGTCTCTGGTGGGGAATCGGGGCCAGATTCTCCACGGGAGACCCCCCGCCGCGGACAGGGCCAGTGTTTTTTTTGCAGTTTTGGGTATATTTTAGTGATTTTCAGTTTTTTTTTTTTTTTTTTTTTTTTTTTTTTTTTTTTTTTTTTTTTTTTTTTTTTTTTTTTTTTTTGTGATTTTTTTTTTTTTTTTTTTTTTTTTTTTTTTTTTTTTTTTTTTTTTTTTTTTTTTTTGTGATTTTTTTTTTTTTTGTTTTTTTTTTTTTTTTTTTTTTTTTAAAAAAAATTTAAATTTTTTTTTGCAGTTTTGGGTAGTAATGGTCCCGGGAGATCCCGTTTGGCATGGTGTCGGGCCTTGGATTTGACATGGTGTCGGGCCCCTTCGAAAACCCGCCCCGGGAGGTCCCGTTTGGCATGGTGTCGGGCCCCGTCCGCGGCGGCTGGTCTCTGGTGGGGAATCGGGGCCAGATTCTCCACGGGAGACCCCCCGCCGCGGACAGGGCTAGTGTTTTTTTTGCAGTTTTGGGTATATTTTGGTGATTTTCAGTGTCTTTTTTTGTGATTTTGGCAATATTTCAATGATTTCTAGTGTTTTTTTGCAGTTTTGGGTAGTGATGGTCCCGGGAGGTCCCGTTTGGCATGGTGTCGGGCCTTGGATTTGACATGGTGTCGGGCCCCTTCGAAAACCCGCCCCGGGAGGTCCCGTTTGGCATGGTGTCGGGCCCCGTCCGCGGCGGATGGTCTCTGGTGGGGAATCGGGGCCAGATTCTCCACGGGAGACCCCCCGCCGCGGACAGGGCTAGTGTTTTTTTTGCAGTTTTGGGTATATTTTGGTGATTTTCAGTGTTTTTTTTGTGATTTTGGCCATATTTTAATGATTTCTAGTGTTTTTTTTTGCAGTTTTGGGTAGTAATGGTCCCGGGAGGTCCCGTTTGGCATGGTGTCGGGCCTTGGATTTGACATGGTGTCGGGCCCCTTCGAAAACCCGCCCCGGGAGGTCCCGTTTGGCATGGTGTCGGGCCCCGTCCGCGGCGGATGGTCTCTGGTGGGGAATCGGGGCCAGATTCTCCACGGGAGACCCCTCGCCGCGGACAGTGCTAGTGTTTTTTTGCAGTTTTGGGTATATTTTGGTGATTTTCAGTGTTTTGTTTTGTGATTTTGGCCATATTTTAATGATTTCTAGTGTTTTTTTGCAGTTTTGGGTAGTAATGGTCCCGGGAGGTCCCGTTTGGCATGGTGTCGGGCCCTTGGATTGACATGGTGTCGGGCCCCTTCGAAAACCCGCCCCGGGAGGTCCCGTTTGGCATGGTGTCGGGCCCCGTCCGCGGCGGATGGTCTCTGGTGGGGAATCGGGGCCAGATTCTCCACGGGAGACCCCCCGTCGCGGACAGGGCTAGTGTTTTTTTGCAGTTTTGGGTAGTAATGGTCCCGGGAGGTCCCGTTTGGCATGGTGTCGGGCCTTGGATTTGACATGGTGTCGGGCCTCTTCGAAAACCCGCCCCGGGAGGTCCCGTTTGGCATGGTGTCGGGCCCCGTCCGCGGCGGATGGTCTCTGGTGGGGAATCGGGGCCAGATTCTCCACGGGAGACCCCCCGCCGCGGACAGGGCTAGTGTTTTTTTGCAGTTTTGGGTATATTTTGGTGATTTTCAGTGTCTTTTTTTGAGATTTTGGCAATATTTCAATGATTTCTAGTGTTTTTTTTGCAGTTTTGGGTAGTGATGGTCCCGGGAGGTCCCGTTTGGCATGGTGTCGGGCCTTGGATTTGACATGGTGTCGGGCCTCTCGAAAACCCGCCCCGGGAGGTCCCGTTTGGCATGGTGTCGGGGCTTCGAAAACCCGCCCCGGGAGGTCCCGTTTGGCATGGTGTCGGGCCCCGTCCGCGGCGGATGGTCTCTGGTGGGGAATCGGGGCCAGATTCTCCACGGGAGACCCCCCGCCGCGGACAGAGTCCGTCGGGCGGTATACGGCCCCTGGGCGGTATACGGCCCCCGGGGGGTGATTTTGGGTATATTTTAATGATTTTCCATGTTTTTTTTTTTTTTTGGGGGGGGCAATATTTCAATGATTTCTAGTGTTTTTTTGCAGTTTTGGGTAGTGATGGTCCCGGGAGGTCCCGTTTGGCATGGTGTCGGGGCTTCGAAAACCCGCCCCGGGAGGTCCCGTTTGACATGGTGTCGGGCCCCGTCCGCGGCGGATGGTCTCCCGTGGGGAATCGGGGCCAGATTCTCCATTGGAGACCCCCCGCCGCGGACAGGGTCCGTCGGGGGGCTCCCCGTGAGCTCTGTCTGCGGCGGATGGTCTCCCGTGGGGAATCGGGGCCAGATGCTCCATGGGACACCCCCCGCTGCGGACAGGGCCCGTTGGGCTTGGTGTAGAGAGGGGTGGCCCCTTCGAGTGCCGCGCGGCGGCTGTGCGCCTCAACTCAGCTGCGCGGTAGCGTTGGGTTCGAGAGTTGCGCGCCGGGGCTCCTGTCGGGTAGGAGATTCGAAAGTTGCAGATGGACTCCACCGCAATGTTTCGCGAGGTCGCCCTGTGCGGGTTGGCGCAGGAGCAGGGCATCGCCGCACTACGGGCGTGCCTCGCCGACGCCCGCGGCGATGAGACACTTCGCTTCACCGAGATCACTTCTGCCATGGCACGTCGTGCTGTCGTGTGGGGCGATTCCTCGGCGTGGGGTGACATAAAGGTTGTTCTCCAGACTCGCTTGGCCCCCGGCTCTCGGCCGTTGCCATCCGAAGTCATGTCCGTCTGTGCTGCCCATTTCCGCGATGCAGATTTCATCGTTCCCGACCCCAAGGAGGACGCTGTCATTGTCCACGGTGGGCTGGACAACGGGTACGGGTCCGCGGAGGATGGGTGCCACTTCTTGCCGCTGCTCCATGTCGACGAGTACCGCCTGTTGCCCCCGTGCTCGTCACCGAAATGGGCCGACATGGTGGCGGCCGTCGCCGCTCGCAGTGGTGATCTCGCGCTGGAGTCGCGCGTCCGTGACGGGGGCGACTGCTACTTCCACGCGCTTCTCGTCCTCCTGCATTTCCGGGGCGTGCTCATGCTCGCGCCGAGCGGCGTGTCCGCGGCCCCGGGGGGAGGTGGTGCCGGGGCTGCCCCGAGCCCACCTCCTCCCCCGAGCTCACCAGCCGGTCCAGTCCCAATCGCTGACGGCCCGCTCGCGGGGTTGCGCCCCCCTGCGACGCCTCGGAAGAGCCCCGAGCCCGACTCTCAGCCCCCGCCTGAGTCGCCCATTCCCGCGGAGCAAGCGTCACCTGCGACTCAGGTCTCTCTGCCGAGCACACAGTTCACCTCCTTCAGGAATGGTGCGCGGTTTGAGGACTCCTTTGCAGCGAGTGCCAGTCTTCGCGTCCCGGACCCCACGGGCGAGAGCGTCGCCGCATTGCAGGCCAAAGTCGAAGGGCTCCCAGAGGACGAGGCATCGAACGCGATCGAAGAGTTCCTGTTTCCTGACATCGTCTTCGAGGGTTTTAAGACGAAGGAGGAGGTCTACGAGACAGTGCGCCAGAGGGTCATGAAGGCGTGGGAGGACACCCGGTCTCACCGCCAGATTGCCAGCGAGCTGGATTTCGATTTGCGCACCATCGCGCCGAAGCTGTTGGCGGACGCCGTGCACACCGCAGCAAAGGCCCGGGGTCTCTCTGCGGAGGCGCTGCTCTCCGCCGTGGAGTGCAACATGGGTTTCATCGAGGCGCCCGGAACAAAGCTGACGCACTTGCGGATGTCAGGCCGTTACATTTCCCCTGGCCAGCCCCTCTTGATCGGCAGCGCGTCCTCCACGCGGAAGTCGGCCTTGATGCAGTGCACGGACAAGTGGTTGACGCAGGTCCCGGAGGCCTCCCCTGTTTTCAAAGACAAGTTGGTCATGAACACGGACTGCGCCACGAAGGGCATTCGGAAGCAGCTTGAAGAACACGGCCGGTGCGGCATCTCCAGCGACGAGGCCGCAAACACGTTCCAGACGCCCTTCAGCGACGTGGAGTCCGGGGTGCACTATCTCAGCTGCGCGAAGCTTAACACGTGGACGCAGAGCGAGCGCGACGGACCGGCGACTGGCAACGGCAAGGTGTCTTTGGACAATTACAATTTCATGCTCAAGTGCGCGGGCCAGACAGAGGTCGTCGAGTTTATCGTCATGCCGAAAGTGCACGGGTTCCAGAAGCGCATGCAGACGGTGTGGGTTCTCCACGACAGCGGGTCAACCTTGGGCCCATCATATTTCGCCATCCCGAGCTTGGTTGCGATTTTCCGCCGCGTGTCTCTTGGCCTCGCTCCCCGAGCCCACAGGTTCTGGCCCCTCCTAATCTTTTCCTTCGGTCCCGTCCTGGTCGTGTCCCATTCTCGGGGCTGTTCTCGAGTGGCTTGGAGCTCGAGGGCTCCCCTGGCGTTTTGGGGGAGACCAGCCCTCTTCGGATCGATGTTGTTCCTATGCGAAGCGGCTCCTGCGGGGCCCCCCAGGACGTGTGCGCGGACGACGGGGTCGATTCCGAACAGAGCGACTCCTTCATCGAGCGTCTGCACGGGTGGATGCACGAGCATTGTTCTGATGTCGCCAGCGTTCTCTCGCTCGACGGCTTCGCCTACACCATATACCGTGCTGCGAAGCAGGCTTTTGATGATATCTGTCAGACCGTGCCAATGCCGCCGGCATTCAAGACGAAGTTGAATTTCTTTCACAGCGACTTGCTTCGCGCAACGCACCGGGTGCACCGCGGGAACCAGTTCGCCAGGCATTTCATCGCCCGGCATGCTGCCCAGGGCGACGACGCCCTGGCGCCGCAACCGCCTTTTGATTCTGCTTGCGGGTGTTGTCTTCCCAGTGTGAACGAAATCACGATGGGGCTCCACAAGGTTCTCCGCCAAATTGAACTTCACTTCGGGCTGTGCCGCTTCCACGTCGCCCACGCTGCCGAGGGCAACCATCGCTCCGGCGCCGACGGCAGGTGCGCAGGCGGATCTTCGGCGGCCGTGCTGGCCGTTCCTGACGTCGCGGAGATAGCGATGAGGGCCCTCATGCCGTCCGAGCTGATGCGGCAGTTCCTGCTCACTCGCGCTCCCAAGGGGCAGATTTTCACGGAGGCGGATGCGAGGCAGTGGCTCAGGAAGGAATAAGAGGGACACGTGGTTCAGAACGGACCTGGCAAAGAAGATCTCCGACGGCTTGACAGCGCTGGTCGCGGCTAATCTCCTGGACAGGGTCGCGGACTCCGCCGATGCGGGGGACTCCACGCAGAGGGCCAAGGCGGCGCAAGGCGGCTGGGGCCTGGAGCGTCGTGGTCTAGCGAGTTGGCACTGCCGCGTCCAGGGGCTCCCGTCGCTCTCCCCCGTCACTCCGGGCCAGTGGGGCCCAGGCATCAATCGTCGGCAGTTTCCCTGGAATCAGTGGATAGTTCCCTGTGTTGCCCCCGAGATTCTTTGGTTTCGCAGTGGGAAATCCAGGTCTCATTCAGACAGGAGTGCCCGGGCTTTCGATGGTCGTTCAGCGAGCCCACGAGGCAAGCGCAAGGGCAACCCCAAGGGCAAGGGCATGTTCAAGAAGCGCAAGCTCGAGGAGATCGTTGCGGACGCAGATGCCACGGAGGAACGCAAGCGCCTGCGGGTGAGCACGAGCGAATTCGAGTGATGGGGGCGGCAAATTCGCGCGCCGAGAGGGGTCGTCAGGTGACTCCTACGCTTCTCTCCCAGCGCAGACTGCATTCTCGTCGCGCTGGTGATTGGGGACACCGGCTTGCAAAGAGCGTATAGGTCGGTGGCCGGGGTTGCCCCGCGATCGGCTGTGTCGGCCCAGTCTTTCAGTGACCTCAGCTAAGCTGCGGGTATCATCTGGTCTGCCCTGAAATCGGCTTCGGCGGCTCTTGCTAATCTACTTCTCCCCTCCTCGACTCATTGAAGTTCCCTCGCTTCCTCCCCTCCAACGACGCATCAGCCGTGCTGCTTCGTGCGATCGGGGCGCGCGAAGTTGCATTTTCTGCTGTCACCCGCGTTTAAAGCATGCCGCGCTTAAGTGCGCGCATCGCGCTCTCCTGGGGCGGCTTTTGGGGTGAGGACACCGTGTTGTACCTGGGGGAAAGAGTGGCGCGGATTGCCCTTGCCATGGGAGGGAACAGAGGCGGCCGTACACGGTGGAGGATAACATACGTTGGCTGAGGTAGCACGAGAAGGAGTGCTCAAGTCTGCCTGGGTGGCTGGCGCTGACCAAGGGAATGGCCGTGGCTGTGGGAGATCACGCGGATCGGTCCAAGAAACAGTTTCTGCGGGGGCGCACAGCCACGATCCATGGATGGGTGTTGCACGAGGACGAGATCGTGGGAGATGAAGAGGAGGGAGTGATGTTGCATTTTCCATACGAAGGAGTGGCACCTGCCAGGGTGGGAGCTGGTGCTGTATCCGATCTTTCCATCGAAAGGGCGGCAATGGTTCTTGGACGGGTATCGGAAACATCCTGTGTTGAGTTTGAAGCGCTCTCAATTTTTTGATAATCCCGCGATTGGTGTTAACGGCGCATGTTGCCCAGGGGCGGACCATGGCAGCAGTGATAGCTGACCTCGAAAGAGGGCGCGGCGTGAGTTGGATGTGCAGTTACGTTGCCATCACGCGCGTGGTCAGAGGGGAGAATTTGCTGATCTTCCGCCCGTTTGATACGAGTCCGTACAACGCGGGTGCGATGGCGGGCACGAACAAACTGTTGCAAGTGCTGCGAGGGGAGAGCGTGAATTGGGATGAGTGGGAGGCGGAATTAATGCCACGAGAGCAGTGCGAACGCTGCCGGCGGAGGTTGGTGGTAGAGGCGTTCACGAAGTACGAGTTCCAGAGAAAGGAAAGGTCAGCGTTCTGCAAAGAGTGACGACGCGGCACGCTATGGCAGTGGTCGGAACGCGGACGCGGCTGCCGACGACGGGGAAATGAAACAGATTAGGAAAATGTACTGCGCGAAGTGTAGCCATGTCAAAGCAAAGCAGAACTCGCGGAAAGGCAACGCGACGTGGAACGAGAGCGTCGGCACGGTGCGATGTACGAACGGGAAACGCCTGTCGCTGTATGATGAAAAGGCGGAGATGTCCTCAGTTCAGAAAAGGCACAATGCTGCTGTGGAAAGATTCTGTCGGAAATGCGCGGAAGAACGAGAGAAAGGGGTGCGACGGGGCAATGCGGTGGCAGCGAATCGCAAACGGAAAGCCGAGGCGGACGCGAAGCCGCTGACGTGCGCGGCGTGCGGAGAAGCGTTCAGGCACGAAAAATATGTTGCAAGTGCTGCGAGGGGAGAGCGTGATGTGGGATGAGTGGGAGGCGGAATTAATGTTACGAGAGCAGTGCGAGCGCTGCCGGCGGAGGTTGGTTGTAGAGGCGTTCACGAAGTTTCGTGGTGGTGTTCGCGAAGTTCGTGGTAGAGGCGTTTTTAGCGAGCGCTGTTAGTGGTAGAGGCGCTCACGAAGTTTCGTGGTGGTGATTTTTTGCGGGGCTTCTCGCGGGAATTTTGGAGGCAGTTACGCAGCGTCTTGGGAGCCGTTTTGGGGCCATTTGGGGCCTTTTTGGACGCTTTTTGGGGTTTCTTGGGGCCTCATGGAGTTTGCTGTGGCCGTCAAGGGGCGGAAGGCTCGGATTGTCGGTTGAAGTTCCCCCTCTCGGGCCTCTCTTGGGGATGTCTTGGGAACCTCTTGGGCCGTCATTGGGGCCTCTTGGGCCGTCTTGAAAATGAACGTTTTCCGATGAGTCTTTTTGGAGGTTTTTGGGGTGTCTTGGAGATTCCTTGGTTTGTTTTCGGCCGATCTTGGACGGGTTGGAACGCTCGCTTGGTGTCTTGGAACCCTCGTGGGTCGTCTTGGAGGTCTCTTGGGACTTTCTTGGCTTGTCGTGAGCTTCTTTTGGGCGCAAAGAGGCCGCGACGCGCTTGTAGGGGGCCCGGGTGGGGGGGGGCCCGGGGGAGCGGGGGGGGGGTCGAATCGCTGGTTTGGGGTCCCTGGGCGGGGACTATAGGGGGGGGGTGAATTATTTCACACGCCTGGAGACCCACGGGGAGGAACTATCTCACACCCACCAGCCCCGTGGGGCAGTCTGAGAGATGCTGCGGGCGTTGTCCCCGCGCAGTTTCGCCCTCCTCCTCTTCCTTCCGTCTCCGCGCCAGAGGTTCTCCGCCGTGGAGGGGGGGCTCGGGTCGAGACGGGCGGCCCCTTCAAGCTGCGCCATCGTCGCGGGCGCAGGATCTTCATCGTCGCCATCTAACGCGTCGGCGGGGGGCTCGGGGTAGAGAGGGGCGGCTCCTCGAAATTGCGGCGGAGGGATCGTCGCCGCCGCGTCGTCTTCATCGTCTTCATTTATTCCCCATCAGAGCTTCTCTGTCGCAGAGGGGGGCTCGGGGTATGCTACGTCGCGGGCGCAGGATCTCCGCCGTCGCCATCCAGCGCGTCGGCGGGGGGTTCGGGGAAGAGAGGGGCGGCCCCTCGAAATTGCGGCGGAGGGTCCGGGGTGAGGGGGGGAGCCGCTTTCAGGCGCGCCCCATGTGCGGAAGATTCATTCTCCGCCGCGCAGTGACTGCGCGCTCTCGCCGCCGCTGACGCCGTCGTCGTTATGTCGCGATTGCTGTCGCCGTCATCATTGCCGTCGTCGTCGTCACCGCCGCCGCCGCCATCGTGGTCAGCGGGGCCGCAGTCGAGAGACCGTCGCCGCCGCGTCGTCTTCATCGTCTTCATTTATTCCGCACCAGAGCTTCTCTGCCGTGGAGGGGGGGCTCGGGGTAGAGACGGGTGGCCCCTTCAAGTTGCGCCGTCGTCGCGGGCGCAGGATCTCCGCCGTCGCCATCCAACGCGTCGGCGGGGGGCTCGGTGTAGAGAGGGGTGGTCCCTCGAAATTGCGGGCCCGGGGGGTCCTGGAGATCACGGGGCCCTCGCGGACATGTGGGGGGGCCGTGTTTTTCCGACGCCAGCGCCGTCGGCTATCAATGTCACCATCATCGTCGCCGCCCCGTCGTCGGCGCATGATCTCCGCCGTCGCCATCCAACGCGTCGGCGGGGGGCTCGGGGTAGAGGGGGGCGGCCCCTCGATGTTGCGGCGGAGGGTCCGGGGTGAGGGGGGTAGCCGCTTTCAGGTGCGCGCCATGTGCGCCCCCGAGGGCCCGGGGCCTTGGGGGGGCCAGCCTGGTGGCACGATCGAGTCGTCTTGGTTGACTCCTATTCCTATTCCTGCTCCTCCTCTTGCTTTTGTTCCGCTTCCAGCTCCGCTGTCGTCATGTCCGCAGTCGTCATGTCTCGAAGGGCAGCGCAGGGCGCCCTAGCAAGCGCGTGCCGCACTCGACAACGCTACCCAGCCCACTACGAGCTGCTAATGGAGGTGCTCTCAGATCATGACAAGAAGGCCGTCGAGGATCTGCAGTATCGGCGTATCGTCCCTGAGGATTGCGAATTGCTGTCCGGACTGGACGCGAGCGTGTCCCGCAGCGCCCGGGATATGGACTACATCAACAGCGTGCTCGAGCGGTGCAAGGGCGGGCACCCCGGCGATCCGGCGCCCGCGAATTGTATGATTTGCATGGAGGATGTCCCGTGCCGCCACCTACCTTGCAGGCATTCGTTCTGCTCCGACTGCCTCGTTTCAAGTTGGTCCAAGGTGGACGCGCTCGGCCTGATTTGCCCTGCGTGCAGGCAAGATGTGCCGGAAGGGTTGGCGCTCGCGGAGGAGAGAAAGGCCGGTGTCGCCACGGGCGGTTGCACCGAGGGCGCCGCGGGCGCAGGGGGCGCTGCGGAGCAGGGCGTCGGCGCTGCCGCCGCCAGCGCGGCCAGGCCCCTCGAGGGCGCCGCCCGCGCTGGTGCCGCGGGCGCGGGAGGCGTGGCCCAGGCGTCCGAAGAGGGCGACGTTGCGGGGGAGAGTGGCGAAAAGACGGTATGGCAGTGCGTGGTCGCTACCATTCTGTCCGAATCCCCAGACCTCTCCTCGGAAGTCGCGAAGCGCCTCCAAGTGGGGGACCGTCTCGAGGGCCTCGCCGTGCCTCGGATGGAGGGCCCGGTGATGCGGGTGCACGTGAGGATCGGAGACAAAGTCGGCTGGGTGACGTTGCGGAGCACTTCGGGCAAGGAGCTCGTCTCAGTCTTGGGCGCCGACGCTCAACCTGGCGCTGCCGACGGCCGTGGCGCGCCTGCCCTGGCGCCCGGGGTGCCCTCGCCAAGAGCCCCGCAGTCGCGCCCGATGGCGGCTCCCGATGGCGCTGCGTTGTCGAGATCGGCGGACCCGCCGCCCGCGGTCCGAGGGGGAGGCGGTGCCGGGGATGCCCCGAGCCCAGTTCCCCCCCCAGTCGCTGATGGCCCGCCCGCGAGATCGGCGGACCTGCCGCCCGCGGTCACGGGGGGAGACGGTGCCGGGGATGCCCCGAGCCCAATTCCCCCCCCAGTCGCTGACGGCCCGCCCGCGAGATCGGCGGACCTGCCGCCCGTGGTCCGGGGGGGAGACGGTGCCGGGGATGCCCCGAGCCCAATTCCCCCCCCAGTCGCTGACGGCCCGCCCGCGGGGCTGCCCGCGAGGGCAATGACGCAGCATATGATAGTATATTCGCAGTATTTGAAGATGGCAGTGAAGGGCATCAAGACTAAGGAGTACCGCGGGTTGAAGACCGATTACTGGCGACGTCGGTTCCTCCAGGGTGGGCGGGACTGGCACGTCACCCGCGTGAGGATGAGGGCCGGCCGCGAGAAGTTCAGGCCGGAGGCGGTGTTCGAGATCGTCAACAAGGAGGTGATCAAGGTGGCCGACTTGGCCGACGTGTGCTTGCCCGACCGAGGTACGGAGGCGTGGGGCCGGCTGTTCGGCGGGTGCACGGAAGTGCTGGTGTTGCACCTCGGTGGCATCGTAGAGAACCGCACCGAATGGCGGCGCGAGGTGGAGGGCGCGCAAGGGGGCCCGGTGCTGCGCGCGGTTTCCCCCGAGCGCGCGGGCGCCCAGGACGACGCGGAGGACAAGGAGGCGGGAGGGCGGTTGGGCCACCTGCGCCCAGAGGGTAGACGGGATTTTGGGTTTCTTCATGCGGCATGGCTGGAAAATCGTCGGCATCGTCCGCGGGCGGGGGTTCCCCCAAGCGGGCCCAAGTGGTTCCCCCAAGTGGGCTCCAAAATCGTCGCTCCCTCCTCCCATATCGCTACCTTCCAGGGGCAGGGCCGCGTGCTCGTCGGCCAGGGCATCGGCGCGGAAGAAGAGCAGGCGAAGTGGAGGCTGGCGAGCTCCTTCCTGTCGCGGCGCGGAGGCCTCGTCTGGAACGAGGTGGTGGAGGCAGCACTGGGCGACAAGCAGAAGCTGTTCGACCGCGTCGTGGACTTCCGGGGCATGCACGCGACGCTGCTCACAATGTCAATCGGGGCGCTGAGACAAATCGGCCAGGCTGCCATGTTGCACCGGGACGTGATCCGGGAGAAGAAGCCTGCACTTGTCTACCACCTAATCCGCTGGTACCGCCAGGCGGCGGTCGATGACGCGGCGTCGGCGGCCCCGCCCGCCGAGCCGGCGGCGGAGGAGGCGGAGACGGAGGAGAACCCGTTGGCGGACGCCCCACTCCTGATCCCGCGCGCCAAAGTGGCGCGGATCATCCGCGCCCTGCTGCCGCTGTTGTCGGCGAAGAGGTCCGGCCACGCAGAAGGCGCGCCGCTGAAAATCACCGATGAGGCCGTGGGTGCCGTCCACGAGCACCTCGAGTACGTCCTGCGCGCTCTGGTGAGCGACGCTTTCGCTGTGGCCGAGTGGGCGAATAAAGACCGCGTGAAGAAGATGTCCATGACTGCGCTGGCCGTCCGGATGTCAGGCTCTATCCAGACGAAGACGTTCGTGGCCAGCAAGCGGAGGCGCAGGCTTGCCAACGTCCTGGATGACCTTGCGAAGCTCGCGGGGAGTGTTTACGACGGCGATGCGCCGGTCGACTGGGTTGGTTGCGACGAGCTGTCCGATTTCCTTTTCAGGAAGTTCATCTCGGCCGAGAAAAGTGAGAAGATTCGCGTGCCTGCGGCAGCTTTCAGGGATATGCGGTGTTTCACGTTCCACTTCCTCGACGCGTTCCTTTCCCAGGGCGTCGAATCGGCGCGCCGCTGCGGTAAGAACACTCTGACCAAGCGGATCCCCGAGCCTTCGGCCCAATCTGCCCCCTGGCCGGCCTGGGTCGCGGGCGCGAGGCTTCCTGCGGGGGCGTCACGGTGTGTCACGGGGGGCCGTGGGGGACTCTTCGGATGTGTTGGGCGTCCCGGATCTTCGCGGGGCATCCTGGGTGGCGCAATGGGGCCGTTTTGTGGTTGCCCTGGGGCTCCGTTGGGGCTCCGTTTGTCTTATATGTATATATATATATATATATACATATATATATATATATATATATATATATACTCATCCATTTGGAGCCGTCTTCGGGCGCTCATGGGGGCCGCTGGGGCTCGCGGTGTGTCACCGGGGGCCGTGGGGGACTCTTCGGATGTCTTGGGCGTCCCGGATCTTCTCGGGACATTCCGGGTGCCGCAATGGGGCCGTTTTGGGGGTGCCCTGGGGTCCCGTTGGAGCAATATCGGTTGTTTTGTTTTTGTTTTGGCCATCTTCGGGCGCTCATGGGGGCCGCTGGGGCCGTCAAGGAGCAATCGAGGAGCGTTCGAACTCGTGTCTCGAGGCACAGTGGCGGATTTTGCTCGTCTGATGTAATGGCGCGGGCCCCTCTGTCAGCGGGGCCTCGGCTGAGGGCCAAGGCTCGACGTTTCCGGGGTTGCCCCGAGTTGGGTCTTTGCCTTCGCATATGTTTAATTTGCTGTAGTAGCATTTCTGTGGCGAGCGCCTTCCGCATTTAAGTGCATTTACTTGTTCCTTGTGGCATTTATTTGAATTTATTGAGCCCGCAGAGCGGGAATCATGGCGGGTCTCCGCAGGGAAAACTCGCACGCAGATTTTGGATTCAGTTGGTGTTCGGGGGTGCAGCTTCGAAGGGGCCTGGTACCAATCATCCCTTGGGGGTTGAGCGGTCTTGGGGTTTAGCTGATGACCTTGGGAAGCGAATGGGGTGCGAAGTGCGTGAGGGTGGTTTCGAGTTTAAGCTCAGTTAGGCCATCCGAGGGGTCAGTTGAGGGCCCGAGACATGACGTGCGTGAGGGGCATATCGAATTGAGGTTCCCTTTGGCTGCCTCTAGCTGCCTCCCAGGGGAGCCGTGGCCTCGTAGCGGCGGCGGGGGTTAGGCCATCCGAGGGGTCAGTTGAGGGCCCGAGACATGACGTGCGTGAGGGGTATATCGAATTGAGGTTCCCTTTGGCTGCCTCTAGCTGCCTCCCAGGGGGGCCGTGGCCTCGTAGCGGCGGCGGGGTCGGGGTCGAGAGGGGTGGCCGCCTGTCAGTGGCGACTCATCTGCCCAAGATATGCCCACCGCCGCGCGGCGGTTCCGGGGTTGCCCCGAGACGCGCCCTTGCGCCATCTGCCGAGTATTCGCCCTCCGCCTCGCAGCGACTGCGCGATCCCCGCGGCCGTTGCCCCTGTTCCCCCTGAGTTGCGCCCCCGTGCAACCGTTTCACCAGGGGCTCGGGGTCGGGACCGGTGCCCCGCTTAGCCTGCGCCCCTCTGCCAAAGGTACATCTTCCGCCGCGCGGCGAGGACGGGCCCTGGTGGGCTCTGGAAATGCCCACCAGAGACATCCCGCCGTGGACGGGCCCCAGGGGGCATGGGGGGCTTTGGGCATCCCCAAGACGCAGGAGACAATATTCTGGTGGGAACAAAATTCTATGAAAGCAAACAACTACAGCCGCGAATCGCACACTCATATTTGCCTATTAAAAGCGCCCCGAAGGTGATAATCCACACAACGATATACAGAAGAAACAATGAACATAAAAAAGCAATCACGATTCGTCGTCGGTCTCAAAATGCTCTCGGTTAACCTCGACTTCAACCCCGCCTGGGCCCGCCGGAGCTCCCTTGTTGGAATTGCAGTTGGAGCCTTTGTTGGAGGATGTTGTGATCGTTGTTTCGATTTGGCACTCCACAAGCTTCCTTTTGGCCTCAGTGTCCAACTGTTCCAGCCTGTCAGCGGCCCCTTGGACTGCCGCATGGTCGAGAGCTCCCGTGGCCTCGACTCCCTGCAGGTCGTCCCCGCCGTCGTCATTCTTGTCCTCGCCTCCTCCTCCTCCTCCTCCTCCGGGCGATGCCGCTCCCGCCCTCGGTGCCGCCCTACTCCTCGACGTCGGCCCAGTGGGTTTTTTTGGGGGGTGGCAGCGGAGGCGTCGTGGGCGATCCGTGGGCCTCCCCGCACTCTTGGCGGGCCAGGGCCGCGTGGGGATGGCCCCCCCCTCGCCGCCCGAGGCGGGCAAGGGGGGGGCCGCCGCCCCTCCGTGGCCGTTGTGGCCATCTGGGCTCGGGCCGTCGCGGGCCGGGGCCCGGGCGCTCGGACTGCCCCCGCAGCTCCGCAAGGGCGTGGCTCTGGGAGGGCGGCGCTGCGGGTGGCATGTCGAACAGGGAGGCGCACGATCTGGAGGCGGCAGGCGACGGTCTCATGGAGCAGGCCGGCAAGAGGTGGAACAAGACCACGAGGGCGTTCGACGCGGTGGCCGGACACGCCGCTTGCCCCGAATATGCGAAGTACAAGAAGCAGGCGAAGGAGAAGTACGACGAAGCGAGAAGGAAACGCGTGCAACTTAAAGGAATGGCAGAGCAGTCCGTGAACAAAGACGGCACCAATGACGTGAAGAACGCGAAGGGCCATCAGGACGCCATCGACTATATCGACGCCAAGAAGAGCGCGATGTGAGGTCAGAGTGAGGGTCGCCACGCGCCATATCTGAATGCGTTGCGGCATTTGTGTGTCTAAATACATCTATAGGTTTCTGACGGCTTTAAGCTTCCCCTTCCCCTCCTCCTTCTTCTCCCTCCTCCTTCTTCTCCCTCCTCCTTCTTCTCCTCTCCCTTGCCCTCCTCCTCTCCCCCTCCTCCTCCGCCTCCTCCTCGGGGCCCACCCCTCAAGTTAGCTGCCTTCCCTCGGCGGCGTCCGTGGTTGTCCCGCGCGATAGCGCCTGGTTCGAGGATTGCCCGCGCCGGGGGGCCCGTCGGGTAGGAGTTTCGACAGTTGCAGATGGACTCCACCGCCATGTTCCGCGAGGTCGCCCTGTGCGGGTTGGCGCAGGAGCAGGGCCTCGCCGCTCTGCGGGCGTGCCTCGCCGACGCCCGCGGCGACGAGACACTTCGCGCCACCGAGATCAGTTCTGCCGTGGCGCGTCGTGCCGTCGTATGGGGCGATTCCGCGGCGTGGGATGACATGAGGGATTGTCTCCAGTCTCGGTTGGCCCCCGGGTCCCGGCCGCTGCCATCCCAAGTCGTGTCCGTGTCTGCCGCCCACTTCCGCGATTCAGATTTCACCGTTCCCGACCCGAGGGAAGACGCTGTCCTGGTCCACGGCGGGTTGGAGAACGATTACGAGTCCGCGGAGGATGGGTGTCACTTCTTGCCGCTGCTTCACGTCGACGAGCATGGCCAGTTGCCCCCGTGCCCGTCACCGAAGTGGGCCGACATGGTGGCGTCCGTCGCTGGTCGCAGCGGCGATCTCGCGTTGGAGTCGCGCGTCCGCGACGGGGGCGACTGCTACTTCCACGCGCTCCTCGTCCCCCTGCATTTCCGGGGCGTTCTGCTGCTCGCGCCGGGCGGCGCGTCGGCGGCGCCTGGGGGGGTCGGCGCCGGGGTTGCCCCGAGCCCCCCTTCCCCCGCGGGCTCACCAGCCGGCCCAGGTCCAATCGTTGACGGACCTCGGAAGAGCCCCGAGCTCGCCTCTCAGCCCCCGCCTGAGTCGCCAGTTTCTGCGGAGAAGACGTCGCCTGCGTCGTTCACCTCCTTCAGGAATGGGGCGCGATTCGAGGATGCTCTTGCAGAGAGTGCCAGCTTTCGCGTCCCAGACCCCACGGGCGAGAGTCTTGCCGCATTGCAGGCTATAGTCGAAGAGCTCCCGGAGGACGAGGCATCGAAAGCGATCGAAGAGTTCTTGTTCCCCGACATCGTCTTCGAGGGATTTAAAACGAAGGAGGAGGTGTACGAGACAGTGCGCCACAGGGTCATGAGGGCGTGGGAGGACACCCGGTCCCACCGCCAGATTGCCAGCGAGCTGGATTTCGATTTGCGCACCATCGCGCCGAAGCTGTTGGCGGACGCCGTCCACGCCGCAGGCAAGGCCCGGGGTCTGTCCGCGGAAGCGCTGCTCGCCGCTGTCGAGTGCAACATGGGTTTCATCGAGGCGCCTGGAACGACGCTCACGCACTTGCCGTCGTCAGGCCATTACATTTCCCCTGGCCAGCCCCTCTTGATTGGCAGTGCGTCCTCCACGCGGAAGTCACCTTTGATGCAGTGCACGGATAAATGGTTGACGCAGGTCCCGGAGGCCTCCCCTGTTTTCAAAGACAAGTTGGTCATGAACACGGACTGCACCACGGAGGGCATTCGGAAGCAACTCGAAGAACACAGGCGGTGCGGCATTTCCAGCGACGAGGCCGCCAACACGTTCCTGACGCCCTTCAGCGACCAGGAGTCCGGGGTGCAGTATCTCAGCTGCGCGAAGCTTAACACGTGGACGCAGAGCGAGTACGACGGACCGGCGACCGGCAACGGCAAGGTGTCTTTGGACAACTACAATTTCATGCTCAAGTGCTCGGGCCAGACGGAGGTCGTCGAGTTTATCGCCATGCCGATAGTGCACGGGTTCCAGAAGCGCATGCAGACGGTGTGGGTCCTCCATGACAGCGGGTGAACCCTGGGCCCATCACATGTCGCCATCCTGCCTACCACGCGGCCGAACACTCGGCCTCACTCCTCAAGCTAACATCTTCTGGCCCATATTTGGCCTGAGTCCTCAAGTTCGCTTCTTTTTGGCCCGCTTCTTCTGGCCTCATCTTGGTCGTGCCCGACTCTCGGGGCTGTTTCCGAGTGCAGCGGGTCTTGGCGGGACCCCCCAGGACGTGTGCGCAGACGACGGGGTCGATTTCGAACAGAGCGACTCATTCATCGAGCGGCTGCACGGATGGATGCACGCGCATTGTTCCGCTGTCGCCAGCGCACTCTCGCTCGACGGCTACGCCTACACCATATACCGTGCTGCGAAGCAGGCTCTGGATGACATCTGTCAGACCGTGCCGATGCCACTGGTGTTCAAGGCGAAGTTGAATTTCTTTCACAGCGATTTGCTTCGCGGAACGCACCGGGTGCACCGCGGGGCCCAGTTCGCCAGGGACTACATCGCCCAGCATGCCGCCCAGGGCGGCGGCGGCGCCCTGGCGCCGCTTCCGCCCCTCGATGCCGCTCGCTGGCGTCGCCTCCCCAGTGTCGACGACGTCGCGATGGGCCTCCGCAAGGTGCTGCGCCAAATTGACCTTCATTTCGGGTTGTACCGTTTCCACGCAGCCCAGAAGGCCGCAGCCGCCGAGGGCAATCATCGCTCTGGTGCCGACTGCAGGGGCGTTGGCGGATGTTCGGCGGCCGTTCTGGCAGCTCCCGACGTCGCGGAGGCCGCGGTGAAGGGTCTCGCGCCGTCCGAGCTGATGCGGCAATTTTTGCTCATCCGCGCCCCCAAGGGGCAGACTTTCACGGCGGCGGACGCGAGGCAGTGGCTCCGAAACAAGAGGGATTCGTGGTACAGGACGGACCTGGCCCAGAAGATATCCGACGGCCTGGCGGCGCTGGTCGCGGCGCATCTCGTCGACAGGGTCGCTGGTGTCGCCGACGCGGGGGAGTCCACCTCGAGGGCCGAGGCGGCGCCAGGCGGCCTGAGCGTTGTTTTCTAGCGAATTGGCACTGCCGCGCCCGGGGGCTCGGGGTAGACAGGGGTGGCCCCGTTCGCTTTCCCTTCTTCATTCCTGGTTGGGTGGGCCCGGGCATGAATTCTCGGCAGTGGGCCCAGTCGCCCGCAGTCGCCCTGCAAATTTCCACGGGCCCTTGGCGGGAGAGCCCGAGTCACATGCAGACCGAGCGCCCGGGCTCTCGACGGGCGACGGGGGTTCAGTGCGCCCTCGAGGCAAGCGCACGGTCAACCCCAAGGGCGAGGGCACGTTCAAGAAGCGCAAGCTCGAGGCCATCTTGGCGGACGCCGACGCCGCGGAGGAGCGCAAGCGCTTGCGAGTCAACACGAGCGAATTTGAGTGATGAGGGGGCGCCTTGGACCCGGGCGCATTCTGGCCGTCAGCCGACCTCCGCGCATCAGAACCTCATGGATGGTTGGGACCTCGTGGATGGCTGATATTTCTGAGCGCCTCTTGGGCGCCTTTTGGGATTTAATGGAATCCTCTTGGGGCCTCTTGAGGTCAGTATCGGGCCTGTTGGGAGTTTTCTGGGAGCCTCTTGGGGGTTTGTGGGAGCCTCTTGAGGTTTCTTGGGCGCCTTTTGGGGGTTCTTGAGGCCACAGGAGATTATTAGAGGGCTCTCTAATCTCCAGGGACCCCCAGTGGATCCCAAAAGGCACCCAAAAAGAGTCACACAGGCGCATATACTTTGTATCTCTAAGGGTGCCCTCAAGGAGCCCTGCTGGGTCCCTTTCGGAGCCCCCTGGAACCTGTTTCAGAGAGTTCCCGAGATTTTCCGAATCCCCAAAGAGCTCACCAGGAATCCAAGAAGGCCCAATGAGGGCCCCCAGTAGATCCCAAAAGCATCCAAAAAGAGGTACACTCTTGCATATACTTTGTGCCTCTTTGGGGGGGCTCTCTTGGAGATCTCTCAGACCTTCCTGGGATCCTGTCGGAGCCCCCGGAGCCCTGCTAAAGGGAGCTCCCGAGACTTTCCGAACCGAATACCCGAGGAGCCGCCAAGGAAATCCAAGAAGGCCCCACGAGATTCACCAGGGAACCACAAAAGACACCGCAAAAAGAAACACACTCGCGCAGGGTCATATTCAGGGTGCGCGTTGATGCGTAGCTCTCGCGCCATGCCAGCGGAAGCCGCGGTGCCACTGCGCACTCGCGCTCCATTAGCTCATAATCAGCGCCATGCATTGAGCTGCTCTCTCTCTCTCTCTCTCTCTCTCTCTCTCTCTCTCTCTCTCTCTCTCTCTCTCTCTCTCTCTCTCCCTCTCTCTCTCTCTGTGCATCGTCCGAGGGAGAAGGAGCGCTTCCGGGGTTGCCCCGAGTTACGCCCTGGCCCTCTTATATCCTTTCATTTACATATGTTGCACTGGCACGTGATTTTGCGTGTGCCGCATTCATATTAATTTTCACCCAGGAAATTTATTTGCATACATGTGCGCAGAGCGGGCTCCCCGCCGTGAATTCAGACAGTTGTCGCAGATACGCCGTGCACCATCGACCCCGTCGTACCGGCCATCTTCGCATTCGAAATTTCATCAATATCATCTTCATCATCGCCGCTAGCGCGCTCGGCGCATCCATCTTCGCCGTCGTTATCCCTCGTAGCAGCAGAGGTTTCGGGGCAAGGAGGAGTGGCCCCACCTGGTTACGGCCCTCTGCCGAAATTGCCCTTTCTGCCGCGCGGCGTCTGCGCGCACCTCGCGGACGCTTCCGGGGTTGCCCCGAGTTGCGCCGCTGTGCTCTCGCAGCGGCAGGGCGCTCGGGGTAGAGAGGGGTGGCCCCCTTCATATTGCGCCCTGATTGAAGAGTGAGAACAAGATGAAGATCATGAGGCGATGGAGGAGCAGGCAGGAGGAGGAGGAGGAGGAGATGGAGGAGGATTGGGATGAGGAGGAGGAGGAGAAGGAGGAGGAGGAGAAAGAGGAGGAGGAGGAGGGGGGGGATACGGCGCGAAGACCACAAGAAAGAGAGAGCTTTCAGGCGAGGTCTCCGGATGCATGCCCTCATGGATGACAACGGGAGCGATAACATGGCCGACGATGACGCTGTCGTTGACGATGCAAGCCGGATGACAACGGGAGCGATAACATGGCCGACGATGACGCTGTCGTTGACGATGCAAGCCCAGACGACGAGGACGACGACGACGTTATGTTGAACCATGTCGCGCTATGTCGAATCGTCTTATGTTGTACTTACCCTGCTAAACACCTCAGGCCCCACGGAGGCGACCCCCAGCGGTCGCGAGTCGATCGGACAACGCCGCCGCGCCGACGGGGCGAAGGCGCCTGGGGCGACGACGACGACAGGGACAGCGACGAAAACGGCGATGGCGACGAAGACAGCAAGAAACAATACGACAATAGAAACTAGGATTTCCAAGAACTTTGGATGTGTGTGCCTGCAGAGACCTGCAGAAATCTCAGATGACCTCCAAGGAACTTCGCAGGCCTCAAGAGAATCTGAAAGGGGCGTTCTCCTCCTCCTCCTCCTCCTCCTCCTCGTCCTCCTGGTGGACGCCGATTGCCAGATCCACATCTCCTCCTTCTCTGCCGCTTCGTTATCCCTTTCCCATTATCCGTCTTCCTCTTCTCTTCAGGCCGCACAGGCTCGAGCCCGGCAACATGAGTGCCAACGGTGCTGATTGGGGAGCGGTGCCGGGGCTCAACACATACTACTGTTGCGGCGGCAAGACGGACTACGACATGGAGAAAAAGCAGCACGTGCGGTGCAAGGCTGTGATCCGGACTGACAGGTGGGCGCAATTGCTCACGATCAATCAGGAGATCGAGCAGGAAGGAGTTGGCGAAGCGTGGTACTGCCATTGTGGGACGAAGTACACGCCTGGGAAGGGGAGCGTCTTGGTCGAATGGATCGACTTCGACGCCGTCCCCCAACAAGCCTGGTACTTCGTGGCCGTCCACCCGAAGTACGACATCAAAGACCTCAAGACGCTGTGCCGGGAGGCGATCCTGGCCAAGAAGATGGACGTCAGCGAGATGCGCCCCATCGACGTCCTCAAGCACCTGCCCACGGTCGAGCCCCTCGCTATGGGGTCGGTGGTGAAGCCGTACAAGGAGGACGACCAGAAGTGGAGGGGGCACTGGGTGTTGGCTGACGGAATCGAGTGGGACAGCCTCCCCGCGTGGGATTGGGACTGGCTGTGCGCGCAAGTGGCTCGGGGCTGGCACGACCCGCCAGATAACCTCTTCACGAAGGGAGGAGATTCGAAGATGCTCGTCTCCGAGAAGAAGCGCTTGCGCAAGCTCTGGTGGAACCTGTCGAAAGATGCCAAAAAGATGGACGCCGACGACGAGGAGAGCCTGCAGCAGGAGGCGAAGAGCAAGGCGAACCGCGCCTACGACGACGGCGGCTCCGACACGGAGGCAGCGGTTGGCGCCGCGCCTCCAGCTTCCCGAGATCCCAGCGGTGGACAAGAGCCCCCCCCCGAAGCGCACGGTTGTCGACCTGGAGCCGTCGTCCGAAGATTCCTCGGACCATGAGCCGCCCAGTGCCCGCGCGCGCGCGCTCAGCCACTGAGCGTTCGCACCGCGTCTCTATTTGGACAATTGTTCATTTGTTTACGTTCATTGTGCAAGCCTTCGGCCAATCGTGCGTGAGTGGTGGGTCAGAATCTCATGGATGCTGATTGGAATCTCGTGGATGGCTGGTACTTCTGAGCGCCTCTTGGGCGCCTTTTGGCATTTAATGGAATCCTCTTGGGGCCTGTTGAGGCCAGTATCGGGCCTGTTGGGAGTCTTCTAGGAGCCTCTTGGGGGTTTTTGGGAGCCTCTTGAGGCTTCTTGGGAGCCTCTTGCGGCTTCTTGAGGCCCCAGGAGATTATTAGAGGGCTCTCTAATCTCCAGGGGCCCCCAGTGGATCCCAAAAGGCACCCAAAAAGAGCCGCAAGGGTGCATGTACTTTGTATCTCTGAGGGTACCCGCAGAGAGCCCTGCCGGGTTCCCTTCCGGAGCTCCCTGGAACCTGTTTCAGAGAATTCCCGAGATTTTCCGAATCCCCAAAGAGCTCACCAGGAATCCAAGAAGGCCCAATGAAGGCCCACAATCGATCCCAAAAGCACCCAAAAAGAGGCACACTCTTGCATATACTTTGTGCCTCTTTGGGGGGGGCTCTCTTGGAGATCTCTCAGACCTACGCGACGCCCCGCCAGGGCGAGCCACCGACCGTCCGGGGACCTGGCGGTTCCCTTGCGCTGCAGCAGCTGCAGCGATTTGAACAGCCAGCAGCGGTCGGCCAGCGCACTGAGTGGCACTGGAAGGCGGTCCGCGACGACGAGGCGCAGGCCGTCGCCCACTGCCGATTCTCAGTGAGTTCGGGCGGGAGATGGCCCAACAGGTGGGTACAGCTCTGGGGCATCCTGAGACCTCGCTTGATCTTGACACCGCGGCAGGCGCGCCCGAGCGCCGACCCGACGAGTCACCCGAAGGGCGATGCTGCCGTGAGGCAGAGCAGGGTGGCCGCCAGCGCTAGGCTCCAGCGTAACAGCAGGGCCGCGCCGCTGTGCAGAGTCGCAGCTGCAACTGCCCCACAGCAGAGCGCAGCATTCTTCCTACCTCCTACGCGTCGACTCCGCGTCACCCAGCATCTCACTGCGCCCAATTGTGCTACTGAGCAGCCTTCCTTCCACTATCGACGCCTGCAGGCACTGCACTCTCCCACCGCCGCTGCTGCGACACCCACATCTGCTTCTCGTGCCTTCCCCGCCCAGGGCTTCCCGACACCCTCCAGGGCCCCTGGCGGCTTCCGGATGCCTCCCGAGGCTCCCAAGAGTGACGTACCGTGAAAATTCGAGGTGCGAGATCCCATTCCTCCTCCTGCTGCTCGCTGGAGGGGGAGGTCCCTGAGCGTGGACGTGAGTCGAGCGCGCAGAGACACGGCAACGGGGCTCCTGAGGCCCCCGAGCTCCAGGAGCAGCCAACGAGCCCCGAGCCCTGGGCCTCCTCCCAGAGGAGGGCTGCGCGGGGGAGGAGCACGAGGGAGGGGGGGAGGGGGCCGCAGGGGGGGGTGGGGGGGTCGTGGGCACGAGGACACGTCCGCCGACCCACGCAACGTGGGGCCGCGCGCGCTGAACCCGGAGAGTCCGTAGCCTTTCCGGCTCGGGCGGCTTTGGCTCAAACCATTGCGATCCACTGTTGGGTGGGCTCCGTGCGCTCTCAATGGCGGCCGCCTCCCCTTCCCTGACGCCCACGCCGACCAATGTCAAAGCGAGCGGTGACATCAACGTGGGGGTCGGTGAGATGTATATTTTCTCCAGTGAAGACAAGCAGGTGTACTCAGAGGAGTTTGGTTCTTGCGTTGCGGTAGTTATGCGTCGGAAGGACACGGGTGCAGGGATGCTTTGCCATTTAGAGAGATGGCAGTACGATAACGAGGCGACATTTGAGAAAGGAGACAAGGGCAAGCAATCATTCCCCGACATGTGGAACGAATGTCTGCGCAAAATCGGACCAGGAGACATCGAGATGCGGCTATTCGGCTCGTTTCCGAAGCCAGAAGGCGAGGGCAGGGATATCTTAGGCCAGAAGTTCCGTGGCATTTTGAAGGTGCAGGACAAGCGGGGTGATAGCACATGGAAATTGACTTCGATTAGCTATGAACCGAAAAGTAAGCTGTTGTCCGTCTGCGGAGATACGACCAAGAAGGAAGAGCCTTAGCCATAATCAAGAGGACTGTACGACCAATTTATGCCCAACTCGTTGCCTGCTGATACACAGCGCTACCTCCTCAGTCGAAACTTATAGAAGACGCCTGCGGCGAACCACCATCGCCGCCTGCCTTATTAGAGACGCCTATGTGGCACGACGTTGGGCCGGCGGGGTTGGGCCGAAGGCTGAAGTGTTCGCAAAAAAGGCCCCAAACAGTAAAACAATCGGCACGCCAAATCCCCTTGTAACAGGGGGCGGCGGCTCTAGTGGCCTTCGGCCCATCCCGCCACTGCGTGGGGATCTTTTGGGAGGCTTCCTGGAAGGCTCTTGGAGGAGGTATTGGGGTTGTCTTGGAGCCTCTCCGGGTCCTCTTGGGGACCTCTCGGGCTTCTGGGGGGCTCCTGCGGCTGCTGGTGGGGCCTCTTGGGGGCCTGCTGGCGGTCTCGGGGGTTATTTCAGAACGGAGGGCGCGAAGTGTCAAGACCTTCCTGGGATCCTGTCGAAGCCCTCGGAGCCCTTCATAAGGGAGCTCCCGAGACTTTCCGAACCGAATACCCGAGGAGCTGCCAAGGAAATCCAAGAAGGCCCCACGAGATTCACCAGGGAACCACAAAAGACACCGCAAAAAGAAACACACTCGCGCAGGGTCATATTCAGGGTGCGCGTTGATGCGTAGCTCTCGCGCCATGCCAGCGGCAGCCGCGGTGCCACTGCGCACTCGCGCTCCATTAGCTCATAATCAGCACCATGCATCGTCCGAGGGAGATGGAGCGCTTCCGGGGTTGCCTCGAGTTACGCCCTGGCTCTCTTATATCCTTTCATTTACATATGTTGCAGTGGCACGTGATTTTGCGTGTGACCTCCTCCCAGTGCAGAGTGCGTAGGCGTTGCGCCCGTGAGTGGGGGCACTGGCTCGTGAGGAGCGGATAGTTGAGAGGTCCGCGCCCGGGGTTGCCCCGCGGGGGGCCGCGGGCACAGTCGAAGCGCATCTTTGCCCGTCTCTCCTTTCTCCTTCCTCGTATCATTGAAAACCCTCGTTTCTGTCTACTTCTGCATGTGTTGTAGTTTGGCTTTATCTGCATGTATTTGATCCCTCAGCCTTATATCTGTTCTTTTTGCAATTATTTGCTGTTGTCGAGTACTGCATTTAATGATTGGGATCCATCGCGCCCGACGCCGTCGCAACCGTCATCGTCGTCTTCGTCGCGATTGCCGTCGTCATCGTCATCGCCATTGTCACCGCGGCCATCGTCATCGGCATAGTCGCCGTCGCAGGACCGTCGCCGTCGCAACCGCCATCGCCGTCTTCGTCGCGGTTGCCGTCGTCATCGCCATCGCCGCTGTCACCGCGGCCGTCGTAATCGGCATAGTCGCCGTCGCAGGGCCGTCGCCGTCACGTTGTTGTCCTCGTCGTGCAATCGCCCCCATCTGTTCTCGCCTGAGACAATTCCGCCTTGGGCGGTCCCGGGAATCTCCGAGACCCACGGGCTCTATAGGGCGAGTGGGAGGGCGACTGGCGGGAGTTCCCCTGGTTGGGAAAACGAGGACGGGGGGCCGGGACCTGGACGGACCTGGAGGATCTCTGGCGAGGAATCAATGAATCAATCTGGCCCAGGTTCACCATCGCCGTTGTGGACGGACCCGGGGGGGCCCGGGGATCCTCGTGACCCTCCGCCAGTGTCGTCGGCGCCGGGTGCTCTGGGTAGGGAGGGGTGGACCCTTTAAGTTGCCCCATCTGCCGAAGATTCAATCGCGCGGCGTCCGGGGCTGCCCCGAGTTGCGCCCCTGTGCTCTCGCTGCAGCGGGGGGCTCGGGGTTGAGGGGTGGGCTCGTCCACGCCGCGGGAATCCCAGTCAGACGCAGGAGACCATGCGAGGAGGGTCTCTGGTGGAGAATGCGGCCTAGATCTTCTCCGCCGCGCGGCGGTTAATCCTCCCTCCATCCAGGGACGGCGTGGGCCCGCTGGCTCGCCGGCTCGCTGAACGGTTCCGAGGTGTTTTGGGAATCGTCGCGACCCTTGGTTTTTGGGAGAGCGGAGAGTTACGCTCGCCGCCGCCGTCGCCGTCGCCGCCGTCGCCGCCATCGCCGTCGCCGTCGTTTATCTGCCTTCCCCAGACCCTTCTCAAGGCGGCTAGCATGGGGCCTTTTCCTGCAACGTCGCCGGCCGGGCGATTGCCGCAGAGACAGCTTGTTTATCTGCCTTCCCCAGGCCCTTCTCAAGGCGGCTAGCATGGAGCCTTTTCCTGCAACGTCGCCGGCCGCGCGATTGCCGCAGAGACAGCTTCCCGCTTGGCGTTGTTTCCACAACTCGCGCAAGCGCGTTTGTCGTGATCTCGGCGACCCCCGGAACGTCCGCCCGGCTAGCCTGGCGCCGAAGAGAGCGCGCCTGCAGGAGTCGGCGCCGGCGTGTCTTCCAGCCACGCTGCCGGCGCGGACGCCCATCAGGGATTCTCGCTGCGGTGCTGGCCCCACTGGAGACGGCGCCGAGGACGGGCACGGCGGGGCCAAATCGCCGCCGATTCTCCAACCTCCTCCCCCGCCCCTTCCCCTTTCCTCGTGCCCGATTCTCCAACCTCCTCCCCCGCCCCTTCCCCTTTCCTCGTGCCCTGCCCTGGCCGCTGCCGCTGTCATGGCCGCTGCCGCTGCCCTGGCCGCTGCCGCTGCCTTGACCGCTAATACCGCTCAGGAAGACAAGTGGGCTGCGCGCCTCGCTGCTGGCCCCGCCCCTTCCCCTTTCCTCGTGCCCTGCCCTGGCCGCTGCCGCTGTCATGGCCGCTGCCGCTGCCCTGGCCGCTGCCGCTGCCTTGACCGCTGCTACCGCTCAGGAAGACAAGTGGGCTGCGCGCCTCGCTGCTGGTCGCACCCTGCCCATGCTTCGCTGCGTGCGGGCGATCAGACTGCTGGACCCAGCGCCGCCCCCTATTCCGCGGGAAGCCCGGCTGTCGCCCGCGGCTGGGCTCATCGCACGCCGCGGCGACGAGGCGCCCCCGGGTGTCACGCAGAACCGAGAGTCCCCTTGTTTTGTTTGCTCTCTTTCTTTCTCTCTTTCTTTCTCTCTCTCTGTCTCTCTCTCTCTCTCTCTCTCTCTCTCTCTCTCTCTCTCGCCCTCTTCTCTCTCACGCGCGCGCGCGCACCCTCTACCTATATATATGTGCATGTAAATGTATATGTATATATATATATATATATGTAGATGCATGTAAATGTATATGTATATATATATATATATATAGATCTCTCTCCACCTGCTTGCGCAGGTGGTGTTCATCGTGGACACTTTCTCCAAGCGCAGGACTGCGATGTGCGACGTTGTGCCCCTCTCCGCTACCTCGTGCAAGTCGGCGCCCGCTGACGCCACCCACGTTCTTCAGCGCCGAAGGATGGCGACGTGCTGCGCGTCGGAGCTCTTCGATGTCGGCGTGACTCATCGCGTCGTAGGTTTCAGGGGCGACACGGTGCACCTGCAGCGCCTTCTGGAGAACCCCGCCCAGGGCGGAGGAGCGGGAGGCGGGCTCTCCCGGGGTTGCCCCGAGTTGCCCGCGGACCTGTTGGACGTTATGGAAGAGCTCGCCCAGGCAGCGGCGCGTCAGAAGCGCGGGGTCCCAGCTGCTGACGCGCCTGCTGCTCCTGTCGTGGCGCCGCCTTGCGGCCGCGAGCTGCGGGTGTGGCCGCAGGAGGCACTGGCGCATAAAGAGGGCGGCCATCGCGTCGTTGTCCGTTCTCGTGCGCACGTGGCAGTGCTCCATTGCACCAGGCCTTTTCGTCTCGACGTCAGTTCCGTATACTGCAAGACCTGCGCGAAGCAGTCCAGGATGCGCAGGTGGCGAGTGAGGCGCGCCGACATCTCGCGGGCCCTGCGGGACAAATACAAGGTCCATCACGTCATGCGTTTCCACGTGGCCAAGTACGGCACGTGCTACGCCACGCTGGGCTGGCTGGCGCAGCTCCTCCAGTCCTTCTACGAGACGTTCAACATGCGCGAGACGAGGCGCCGCCTGCTGGAGGTGTACACGGCCCCAGCTCTCAGCATTGCCACGCTGGGAGGTGTGCCGGACCCCCTGGACCTGGCGTCCGATATCTCGGCGATCCCGAGTCGCCAGGCGCTGGTGAACATTGTCGTCAAGAGATTTCGGCCTTTGCTGACGCACGTCGTCGTCGACCTCATCGTCGAACGCCAGCTCATCTACAATGCTTCCGTTATCCGCGGCGACGCCCACAATAACATTGCCTCGAGAGTATACGTGGAGGCGGATGCCGGGGATACGCCAGGCAAGTTCAAGAATAACCCGTTTACTGCTTTGCAGGCGAGGGCGCCCTTGCCTTGGTCTCCCTCCCTTCATGTCCCCGACTCTGTTTCTGTCTCCAAGTTCAAGATTAACCCGTTTACTGCTTTGCAGGCGAGGGCGCTCTTGCCTTGCACCCTGTTTCTCTTTGTCTCTGT